ACATATCAATCTCAATCTACAAGGTTCCACACTTCTCAAATATTCTTTAAAAGAAGATAAGATGAGTTTTTCTTTAAGGAAAATCAACAATTTCGTGAGCCCTAGACTCTATTTTCGAAATACATAGAGGGTTTCACAAAAATCAACAAAAACTTGCATAAATACACATATAACTCAAAGGAAACCCTACCTCAAAGGTTGATGATGAAATAGAGATGAAACCCTAGCCTCAAGAGGGAGGATTCCTTCATTTTCTCTTACACCAAGGAAGCCCTAGCTTTGATCTTCAAGATTAGAGGATAAGGATGGTGATCTAAACCCAAGGGATTACGAGAAGCAAGGAGTTTCTAATGTTTTGGAGATGATTTCTAGAGAGAAGGAGGAGAGAAATTAGGTTTTCAAGTGAGAAAAATAAGCCCCAAATGAGATACACTTCGGCTAAAAAGGGTATTTAAAAATAGGGGTCTGGACTGCCCGACTGCCGCTCGTGCGGCCTTCCCCACCGCTTGAGCGGCCCACCTTGACCGCTCGTGCGGCCCATTTTCTTCGGTCGTGAGCTCTAGACAGTAGCAAAATTTTTGGATGCCAAGCCATTCCGCTCGAGCGGCTCCTCCCACCGCTTGAGCGGCCCACTTCCGCACGTGCGGCCTAGGGCCCGGCACGTGCGGCCCTGGCCCACAGCTCACAACTCCCACTTCACTTTCGGCACCTTGGGTTCACCCACACACCTTCCGGAATGATCGAAATTCAACACCAAGAAAAAGTGGATAAGAAACAATCTCCGGACATTTCAATTCGACGAGAAATAAAAGAGAATGAAGCGTAGAAGGAAAGAAGAAAGGGGAAAAGAAGGCCGGTCATCACATATATATATATAAAATTATCCTAACATTATTAAAAATCATAAATCACATTAAAACCTACCTTAATTAGCAAAGAATTCTTCACGCTTGGATTAATTTAAAACAAAGCAGAGGTAAGATCTTAGGCAAACATAAAGCTTGTCACCTTGAATGAACTAGACAAGTGTTGCTCAAGTAAAAGTGGCAATTTAAGCCCGAATCCATGATCTACCCACAATAAATGAGTTTTGGTTGCCATTTTATGTAAATGAGTTGTAATCAGGTTGCCAAAAACACTTGTTAATCCTAAATGGGTTTAAATGATTCGAATCGGGTCTTCTTGTTCTAGTATAGTTTGTGAATAACTCAGAATACCCGATCCATTTGCCAAATCGATGATTTCAAGTTAATACCCTTTTAAAACATTACATATTTTGACCCATTTAAATTTTGCCCATTTGTCACCTCTAACCTCAAGCTACCGGGCCAAATATTTCTTAAAAGGTTTTTAAATTTGTTAGATTTTGTTAATGAACTAAATTCAATTAATTATTAAAAAGGTCCAATTAATTTAATAAATTTTCAATATCCAAATAATAATAAGAAGGGTGAATTACAAATACATTCCTTGAGGTTTGCTTAAAATACGAATTGCCCCTTATGGTTTGGAAAGTTACAAATACCTACTTGTCAGAATTTTTTATTTAACAGAATTAGTTGAAAAAAGTGAAATTTCTAACTGTTCACCTATACAATAATAAAATTATCTGAATTATTAATTGAAATAAAATTTTAACATTATTAAAAACTGTAAATTAACTTGATGATATATTAATAAAAGGACTTATTTGTTATGAAATTAGAAATCTTATGGGGCATAATGTAATTGGTAGAACCACAGGGGGTAATTTGTAATTTAAGTAAACCTCAGGGGTGTGTTTGTAATTTATCTTAATAATAATAATAACAGCTCATATATGTTGAGTTAAGTGGACAAGTTTAGGGATCTATTTGGTTTAGTTTTAAAGTTATGATTTGAGTATGGAGTTGTATTTTGAATTTTCAGTTTTTTAATCATGATTTGAAAACATAAAATTTGTTTGATTATGAATTTTGAAAATAATTTTAGGATGATTTATAAATTTTTTTTGATTAATTGATATATAGAATGTGAGATGAGAGAAGAGAGATGAGAGAGGAAAAGTGATTGATTGATTGAATAATAATAATTAAAAAAAAGATAAGCGATGAGTTTTGAAATTAATTTGGTTAACATGTTTCATCCCAATCATGATTTAAAAACAAAATTAAATTTTGAAAGGTAAACCAAATACTACATAAAATTTAGAAGTACTACAAAGCTTGATATGATTAGATTAGGCCCAATGTCAAATTGAACCAAGCTTAAAATAATATATATGCACTATTATGTATTCTAAATTGTTGGAATTCATGGTTTTCATAGGCTTATTTTGAGCCAACTTTAAGCCCAAATTTGAGTGGGGTCCATACGCCTTTTAGAGTGGGTCCAAAAAGGTGACACGTTCCTTGTCGCATGGCAAGTCACACAGTAAAAATGGTTTGTCAAAACCATTTATGAGTAAATGAGAAGTTGACGTCATTTTCGAAATCGTGGAATGGACAATTAAAGAGTCAAAAGTGGGTTTCCTTGAAATGAATTGTCCCACATTAAAACTTGAAGAGAGCTTGTATATGTTTATAAGCTCTAGGTGTGAATACTTGGGTTGGGTTCCAAGGGGCACCTCAAGTTTGTAGAAAAAGAAGTTATGGACAAAGTAGGCCTTAGCCCAAACCACCACATGCGCCACAGCCGTCGTCCGTATGCAGGTGTGGGTCGGGTCTAATAGTAATTTTTTGGACAAAATTTATTTGAATATTTTTTCAGAAATTTTTGCTGGAAAAATTAATTTTTCTGAACGAAATTAATTCAAAATTTGCGCCAATTTTGAATTTAATTTTTTATCCAAAAGTTGCCTCATTCAGTCCGAAATTTTCTAATAGATTAAACTGGTTTTAACAGTTTTAAAACTGCCAGTAGTTATATAATTCCAACTGCTACAGATTTGTTTAAATTTGAATTGTATCTGTTCAATTCAAAATTGCACCTGTTCATTTCAAAATTGAACCTGTTTGGATCTGTTCAATGGTCACCAATCTGCCTATAAAGCAGACATGCTTCTAGCATTTTTACAGATTCAGAAAATTGTTTCTTCCATTTTTGCACTCTGCTTGCATTATTCTTCATATTATTTTTATGAGAAAATTTAGAGAGTATACAACATAGGTTTTGTTCACCGTACAGACAGTTTGGAGTGCTACTACAATCTGTGAAGATCATTGTATCCTGATAGATAGACGTTATTCATCCGCAAGCACTGAAGCGAGGCAAATCTGTCTTAAGGACAGAGTGTCACACACTCGACTTGATATAATTTTGTACTTATTCATTTTGGTAAATAAATTCTGTAAATAATTTATTTTTATTTATTTGATTTGATTTCAAGTTATTTATTTTACATAGATGATTAATCCAACATAAACTTGACTTAAATCTAGCTCGTCTTGCTTTATCCCCCCCACTTTTAAGAGAGCGACGCATAACATCATAACCTTAAGAAAGTAATTATTAAAGAAATTGATTGTTGAATTGAACAAAAACGTTGGATCAATAAACAAGCTTGCCTAATGGATGTTTGAATCTAAAAAACCAAAAACAAAAGAACTGCCCAGAGATTTACCTAGTCAAACATTCTAGGATAAAACCTCATAGTGCAATGCTTAAAGTTATAATTTGCATTTGAAGTCCTTAGTGATTTAACACTTGGGGGAAAAAAACAAAAACTTAACAAATTCATCAACAAATTTAGTTATACTGTGTTTAGTTCAGAGATTTAAAAAATGATTTAAAAAAGAAAATATAAAAAGTAAGTGAAATGTGAATAAAATCTATATAATAAGGGAGAGTGGTTTTTGAAATCTGATGGGACTGTTGTCCCTTTGTCAAAATGTGAACCGTTGGATTGATTCAATCCAACGGTTAAAAAATGTCCAAGAAACAAATTATATTTCAATGATGGATTTACAATGGTGAACAATGGTGATTCAATCCTACGGTGAGTTTACAATGGGGTTTCCATCTCTCTCTCTCTCTTCAAAATTTAAAATTGAGTTTTCTCCCTCATCTCTCACTCTCAGAGCTCACTCTTAATACATAGCAGATCGGCGACATACCAGCAGATCGATGACATACCAGCAGATCGGTGACATACATAGCAAATCGGTGAGGTTCTTCAAAATCTTGACTATATTTGTTCATTCCTCATGAGGTTCACATACGAGCCGACCTTATATTGATTTCATACCAGCCGACCTTATATTGATCACAGATTTTTTTTGGCTTGCAAATCGGCGACCTTCACATACCAGCCACAAGAATTTGATTTTTCTTACACTTTTATGAAGAGTTGGTTGGGTTTCACGAATTTGATTTTGATTTTGGGTTTGGGTTTCGCAAAATCAACCCATTTACTATCATTTGATAACCATTCTATATTCCTTGCTTATTAAGTGTTTGATAAAATGTTTCAATGGAATTAGTAGGCACACAACTGGAATTATTCTCTAAATCCTGTTGATGGTATCCTCTAAATTAATATTCCTCTACAATGTTTCTTGGATGATTCCCATTATCCTCTAAATTCCATCAACTGGAATTATTGGGATAAAATGTTTGATAACCATTCAATTTACACACAAAAAATCTCAAAAGATGTCAGTATTGTTGGGTGGGTCTGGAGATGTGAAGTTGATAACCATTCAATTTGATAACCATTCAATGTTTGATAATTTACTCAATTTTTATTTAGAGATGTGAAGTTAGTTTACTCAAGGGTGCTTTATTATTTAAGACTCATTTCAGCCTTATAACAAACTATTAGTGAACTGAATGTCATGATGAAAAATACTTGATTTGCCCATGAGTTGTTATGTTTTTGTTGTATGATATGGTGTAAATGAAGAGAAACTGTTTATCAGTTTCCTCTGTGTGTATGTCCACCATTTAAAACTGTTGTTAGGGTAACTGAAAGGTTAATTTGAAATTGCCAGAAAGTTGCTGAAAGAGGAGGCTATGGAGGCGAGATATGAGTAGCTTGAGTTTCAAAAAAAAGTTGCCCGTTCCCATCAGATGCTCCATGACGCCTCATGGAAGGTAATAGCTATTTTTTTTTCTATTTTTAATGCCAATGGAAAATAGTCCGGTGTTGTTACTCTCACCAAAAAACTATTTTGTTTGACCCCTTATAATGCCATCCTATAGATGCCCTCTCAGATTTTATCATGATCTTTTTTGGCGTCAACAACAAATTATGGTTTTGCAGTATATTTTCAAGATGTATGTTGGTTTTCATATCCAATTTTAGTGGGGAAGAAATTTTTTTTTGATGGCATTAAATGATGTTTTAGCACAAACCAAACTTGGGTTTTGTTGATTTCGGTGATGGTTTTTTATTTTCATTTATATATATTTTGTTAGCCAAACAATTAGTGTGCGTGTGTATGTGTGTTTAATTTACATTTATCCAGTTTACTAGCTTAAGATATCATAACTGTAGATACAGTTTCATTCAGCTTTTAAGTGTATGGTGAATGTTTCATTGCACTCACTTGCAAACCATAGATGCTAGCTTACCCATTGAAGATGTTGAGAAACAGTTGAAGGAGATGGTATTGGATTGTGTGACAACATGCCAAAAGGGGAAAGCCCTCTCAAATCTATGGTAAAATTGAAGTTAAAGATATGGAGGGCACAAGTTAAGTGTTAATGCAATTGAATCAACTCATGATGTTGCACTTGCAAAAAGATATTTGGGTAAATTTTATGTTGTTTAGAAGGTATTGTTGCGTCACCCTTTTTATTCCATTAAATTAATTTAATATAATATGCACGGCCCCATTATAGTCACGGCGGAGCAATAACCCACCAGCCATAACCAGCCATAATAGAATAATATTAAATTTTTAAAAATGGAATTATTCAACAAATTCGATGCTTTAAATACTAAAAGGATAATGAGAATCATCCTCTAAATCCAGTTGATGGTATCCTCTAAATCTAGTTGATGGAATTTAGTAGGCACTTTTTGTTTTCGGTTTGATTTTGTGGAGAATTGGGAATCATCCCAATAATTTTTTAACTTGCTTTTGGACAATGGGAATCATCCAACTACCAATATTATTCTTCTCTTGATTTTTTTATGTGGTTATTTTTCTATGTGGGTTTTTTGAGTTTAGGCTTAAGTTGCAATGATGCTGTGTATATTTTTTCTTTGTTAGGAATAGACATAATTTCTTTACTTGCATTTAGCTGAACCTTTCAAATTCACTTTTCTAAATTCTATACCTTTTAGATTCACTTTTCTAACACCTATAAAATTTTCATGACACATAAGCATTCAATTTTGCTATAGAATTGTTGGTTATCTTCTTCAACATTACCTTTGGTCAGGTAACTAATTGCAAATTTTGCTAGAAAATTGTGGCGGTTGTTTTTGATGGTCAATGTAACGCCCTCAAAGTAATAACATTAAAACCCATCAACTTAGACAAGCATTGGTGTAAAAGATAAATATTCTTCTATTCATCAGAGTAGTTCTTTACAAAAGTATTACATGTTAACAACAAAAGCAAATGCCCTACGGGCTTACAGCTTTCCAAGTTAACACTTGGTTACAAAAAGGAGAGTACTAACTCAATAGATATTAAGCCCTTGGCTTGAATTTACATGTAATACATCAAAAGAAAGCAAATAACAAAGCAGTCTGTCTGCCTCTAGCCTCCCAAGCTATGTCCTTGGAGGTGGCATGCTACCTGCACCTGAAAATGATGTCCCATAAAGGATGAGCCACAGCCCAGTAGAAATACACTAAACCAGCCATGAACAATGACTAAAAGATTAGCAGTTGATAGATGGTTAACACAGATATATCCACATATATCACATTTCGATTTCATGACATTAAGTCCATGTTACATTTCATTTCCCATGTCTTTTCCAAGTATGAGTTTGAAAACAAGGCTCAACACCTAGCCAAATAACTTAATGAGATTTAGACTCATCTTTAAAACACTTTCAAAATTTCTGAGGGATACACATTTTAATGCTGTATCAATAACACATAAACCATTTCCACACTTTTCGAAAGATACACATTTCGGTGCTGTATAAACATAACATAGAATCACTTCTATACTTTACAATTGATAACAATATACATTTTAGTGCTATATCAAATCAATTCAAACACTTCCATAATCAACACTTGATACACATTGTAGTGCTGTATCAATGTCACACCAATATCTGGTTTAGAGGTCCATCCCCTATCTTCCCCTAAACTGTGGAGTACATCCCCTATCTCCTCCCACACACACAATGTATATAAACATAGATCATACACACAAACAATCAATACATAAAGTCAATGTATTATTCCAACCGCTATATTTAATAGCATACTCAATCGATTAGTTTTAGTTTGCCTAATCATCATGCATTGTTTACAACAATCAAGACTATCCTCCACCGATAGCCCAAAGCAGTTATTTCTATACTGAAAATAAATGCACCAAATGGATATATAATCAACATTTCAACTAGGTGAGCGATGAACGAATCAAACTACACCCTTTAATCCCATACACATCCAATTCCAACATTCTCAATTTAATTCCCACATTTCAACTAGGTGAGCGATGAACGAATCAAACTACACCCTTTAATCCCATACACATCCAATTTCAACATTCTCAATTTAATTCTTCTTTTCTTCAAATTAATTATACCAATTAATTTATCAATGTAATTAGGGCATTTCCCATAATTAACATCACAACCTTAAGGTTCCATTTTCATCAATAAACCAATATTGATCTCATTTCTCTATGCCAAACATGCATATGAGTTTATATAAACAAACCCCAACTTTTGTAAAATTACACAATGGCCCAATTTTTCTCAAAATTACCTAACAACCCCCAACTCATCAAAATACTAAAATTCAAAGACAAAACTCATGAGAAGGAGTAGGATATCCCTACCTCGAAGTTAGAGCTCAAACGAGGAAGTTGAAGAAAACCAAAATGTTCCAAACTCAAAGATCCACGGATCAAAATGGAGTCCTCGACGATCCACACACTTTTTACCAAGGCCGGAGGATAGTGAGACACTCTAACTAGATCAAACCCTAGAGAGAAGGGAGTTTCTAGAGAGAGGAGCTCTCAAAATAACTTTTTAGAAAGTAAGAGAGAGAGAGAGAATGTAAAAAGTGATTTTAAAATGCCCAGCTGCCAACTGATATACGACATTTCCGCTCGAGCGGAGAACACAACGCTCGAGCGTCAAGAACAAAAAACTAGGTCCGCTCGAGTGCAATAAGGCCCGCTCGAGCGCTAAGACACAAGAATAAAGTACATCCACTCGAGCGCGAAAACCAGTCCGCTCAAGCGTAGATTTCCCCCTCCCAGAACTTACACCAAAAAGTACTACCCGCTCGAGCACCAGAGTACCCACTCGAGCGTAGAAATCACACTTGCAGAAGTTTTGTAGGGGCACAAAATACTGAGAGTGTACAATCTCCGCTCGAGTGCAACAAGGCCCGCTCGAGTGGAACGACCAAAAACCTGGTAACAAGATTTCAGACCAAGGTTTAACCCACCTGTTCGAAATATGCCCAACACATCCTAAAACTCAAACAAATGGAATTAAAGGACGACAACAAGATAGATACAACTACCAACTCCACGGAACCGAGTCCGGAATACAACAGAACAGTAAAGAAACAACCGGGATCGCTATAGTCAAATTTTGGATGTTCTGTAAAATGCCTCAGTTAAAATAGTTTACTTTCTTATATAATTATACTTTTTTGTTGTTCAAATAGTGAGTAAATCTATCAAGCCAAGTAAATGGCTAAACAATTTTCCTACAGAGAGTTTGATTAACCATGCTTGAATGCACTTAGTGCTGGTAATGTGAATGTCCTAATTGATCAAAGTTATCTTATAGTTTATTCTACATCCCCCCTCCCCCGCACACACAAAAAAAAAAAAAAAAATAGTGAGTGAATCCATCATAGTTTATTCTACATTCCCCCCAAACAGTGAATGATACATGCCTTGGATATTTGGTAAGATTAAAATGGAGAATAATGGCACAACAACCCATTTAACAAGTGAGCCTTTTTTTTTTCTTCACAATTTTAGAAGTTTATTTATTGAGTTTCTTTTTATTGGAATTTTTCTTCTTGATAGGTGATTTTAGGGGTGGAAGAGAAATTTAGATTATATTGATTCAATAGAATAACTTTGCCTATTACTTTTTTCACATCCTATAACTCTACCAGTGCTTATAATCAATTAAAATTTTAATTTTAAAACTTAGACACTGTAGGCACAATTGTATATTCATTTTAAAATAGATGTGACAAAAAAATGTGGTTATAATAAATTAAAATTTGATTGGATGGGTTAGAGTCAATTTTTCTTCTTCTTCTTCCCTTTACTCCTGTGACTCTTAACTCAATATATTTTTGTTTCATTGGGTGAAAACCATCTGTTATTTTTTACAGGAGCTAAGCCTATTATTTCCTTTTTTTTCCTCTCATTTTTTATTTTACTTTCAGAGTGAGGATTGTAAGTTCTGATCAAAAATAAAACAAATTATACTTTCAGCTTTGCCAGTTAAACAATGCTGAGATTGGCTCAATGAGTTCTAGAAAGAATTTGTAAAAAGAAAAAAAAAAATAGTAAAGAGGTCTAGAGTAACAAAAGTTAGTTTTAAGCCAATTGGCCGTTTTGATTTTTCTTCAAATATTTGGTTTTGAAACTACATTAATTCAGTAGACTATCTATATAGCGATCCCGGGTTTACCCTTGTTGTACAGTGATCCGGACATGTGTCCGTGGATGTTGGTAGTTGTTTATTATCAAGTTTGTATCCTCTTTACTTTGTATATTGAGTTATAGGATGTGTTGGGCAGGTTTGTTACAGGTTGGTTGTGTTTGGGAGCCTAGTGTTGCTGCCCAGATTTTTGGACCTTCGCTCGAGCGAGGAGTTGGTCGCTCGAGCGAAATTGAGGTTCGTGTCTAGTGGGTCGAGCCAGAGTGGCTTCGCTCGAGCGAGCACTTGCTCCTGGTTCTGGACCTGAGAGTTGTGTTTCTTGGCTCGAGCGGTCTGGGTTGTTCTTCGCTTGAGCAAGAGTCCCTTGGCTCGAGCGAGAGTTTCTGTGTCTGGTCGCTCGAGCGACCAAGTCTTCGCTCGAGCGAGAGTGTTTTATATCAGCGGACAGTAGCGTTTTTGAACTTAACTGGTGGCGGGGTATGAAGAGAAATGTGGCGGTTTTTGTATCAAAGTGCCTTACTTGCCAGCAAGTGAAGGCCGAGCATCAGAGGCCAGCGGGTTTGTTGTAACCCTTGCCTATTGCCGAATGGAAAT